TCTCTTTTCAGGGTTTCCATAAATTTATTAAAGATATGGAGAGCATAATTTTAGACTGTATTCATTAGAAAATTGAAATAGATAACTCTAATTATAGTCTGGCAAAAATACATTTTTTTATTATTACAATTCAAGAGGATTACATGGTTCAGTTATTACAACTACTTTGTCACATGCATTGGTGGCTTATAATTTAACCCGTAACCAATTTATTACAGCTAATACATTAGCTGAAGAAACCAATTAAGGTACTTGGAAAGGGAATCGATCGATAAGAGTATTGTATACGCGGTATACATGACATTTTCAGTAGTTCTGAGAGTTGTCTTCTCTTTTTGTGAGGGTACATTGGCCTGCCCCCCCCCCTCAGATAACATACTATATCACTTCGTGTTTTTTTTCTTACACTTAACGGCGCAATTCTACAAACATCTCCCCAGCCTGAACTCTGCAAGCACTCTTGGTGGCAACCTTATAGTGGCACGCAGGCAGTGGCTGGTATTCCACTGGAAACGACCCAAAAAACTATAGACAACTTTCGGGAAAAACTTCGAAAATGTGTCAACAATGGAGGATTTCACTTACCAGATATAGTTTTCAGAACCAAGTAACGTAAAATGGCATAGTATTTGTTGTTCACAAATAAAAGTAAATTATCTGGATCCTTTTTTTTATTGTAACTGCCATTTGAAATATGGGAGGTCTTCTTGTAGAATTGCGTATATTACTTTTAACACGTGTGGTGTAATATTTCCTACAATTCCCTTATATTGAAAAGGAAATACTAACACCGTGAGAAAGCACACTCACTCAACCCCAACCAACCAGGACGCAGCAACGTCGAGAATCAGTCAGCAAACATTGACCTAAGTGGGTAGCAGGTTCAAATGCTCCCCCACGGCTGCTGACGGCCACAATACGTTTGTGCAATATCGTTAACAAAGCAGCGGGAAGCCACTCCAAATGGCTCTACAATACCAGCATTATAAATTTCCTAGATGATATGATTATATTACCTAGATTTAAAACAAGGTCACCATACTTAGTCATTTGGCTTTACAAATGAATACTTCATTATCTTACTGACTTTTAGAACAGATAATGATGTCTTCTACATTTTTTATTATTCTATTCATAAGAGACATATATTGTTTGTTTTTACAATAAATGCTGCAAAGAAAATAATATATTTTCGTACGTATGGTAGTTTTTTATTGGTCATTTTCATGTTTTTAATCACCAATAAAATATTCATGTGTCTTCTTCACCCTTAACGAAACACATTAAATTCTCTCCAGTGGTAATTACAGCACATTATTTAGGAAATGAATGTGCAGTGGGGAAATTACGTCGGATGGGACAAGGTTAAAACAATAGTGAAAAGATGTTTTTAAAACTAATTTATTTATTTATTTATTTAAGGTTACTTTATAACATCAGGTCATCAGCGACCCCTATCATTAAACAATTGTAGAGACTAACATAACAGTTACAAACTAAAAACCTGTATTGGAAATATATGGGGAAAACCCTGAAGTACCTTGCATTATACACCCACTGAACGGAGGTGGTTTGCAAGGCACCAAAAACGCAGAGAAAAAATGCGGTTAAAATAGTGATGTCTGAACAGGCAAATGGGGAAAACCATGAACAATAATTTTGACGTTTCCGATTATCATATTTACCTTCACATAACAAAGATGTATATTTGAGAACATAAAAAAGTATTCCAGCTCAATTCACACAGCAGTGTATCTAAATTAGTGTAAAGATTTCTGCGCCTTACATCAATTGAAGTCGATAAGCTCCACATTTACAACAGAAAAGATTTTTATTATTAAGATTAAGTTTTAAATTTGTTGGTACAATATAATTCTATTTAGTTGTTGTTTAGTCCCTTGTTTTATAATATTATGTAAAACCAGAATGAAAACTGCCAAAAAAGTGTTCACTAGTTTATTATTGTTACGACGGTTATGGGGCTGTTCTGTTTCGCTCATCAGGTGCAACTGAAAATTTAATTGTAAAAATATTTTAATGAAACCAAAATGATTTTCACAAAATTATAAAAATAATAACCCCAAATAATTCTATAGTGTACCCAATTCAATGAAAGCTCACCTGATATAACTACAAAACTACAAGTAATATTTACAAAAATATATACAATATCTACAAATTATACACAAAAATATTTGAATAGTAAAATAAGTGGTGGAATGCAGTCCAGCCACATAACAGTTGAACGTTTAAATTGAGTCGTTGCATAGTAAGAATAGGTGTTGCATAGTTGTGTGAGTAACGGAACTTAGGCAGTTTTTGGCCGTTTTCATTGTGGTTGTGCATAAATTAAAATAAGAGACTAACAATAAAATATTTTTACACTTTCTGAGAATGGAAATTCTTTTTCATTGAACGGATAATCCATTCTTCCTTATACTGGTTATCCTTTATTGCAGCATAATACACATAGGATACTACGCACCGCTGTAATTGAGCTCGTGTTCTTGAATTAAGGTTCCAAGGAGAAACTATTTAATAGCATAGACCATGAAGATTGTGAGAACGAGATTTAACCTCAGTGGTGGGTGTTTGCATGAAGTGCGCCCGCAGGTAAACTGTACACCTCTTACTTCGGCGACATTAGACGGTGGATGAAGAAATCATTTACGGCATCTTCGGCGAATTGCCGGCCGGATTCGGCCATTGGCCTCGTGTGACGAGTATGTGCAAGCGCGTCGATATGGACATAAGTACCTTAATCTGCAGGTTGTCGCTGAAGGTGTACAGTAGATCCGGAGGCTTTGTACACAACATGCCCCCGCAGCAAAATTGAGTCCCCTGCTTAGACTCGGTTTACACGCTGCGTTTTCACGGACGACTTCGGGAGGTTCAGCAAACACGGGCGTAGAGAGCGACTACTGGGGCGCTAAAGGTGTGGTGCATGCACGAGTTCGCTTTTACTCCTGTAATCGTTCGTCAAAACGAAATGTGTTAACAGGATCGTACAGTCTATGTGGCATAGATAAGTACTTACGTAACGTGTTGTAAGTATGTACACAAGTATGCACACAAGTAAGTACACAAGTAAGTACACAAGTATGTACACAAGTATGTACACAAGTATGTACACAAGTATGTACACAAGTATGTACACAAGTAGGTACACAAGTATGTATACAAGTATGTACATTGGCATAACAGGCCTGTAAGGAGCCAAGGTCTGCCAGCCTTGTGAGTTGAGTACATGTGGTTAGCCATCCTTATGCCGTATTCTGCTCTTCTCATTCTGAGAAGTGAGCTACAAGTATGCGAATGCCATTTCATAATACATATGTAACATGTTATGTACGTGCCCCGATCCTTCCTCTTCCCGGGTCCCGGGGCCGCGAGCCCGCCCAGCGCCACGCGCGGCTCACTCCCGCGGGGCGGAGTGGGGCGGCGGAGGGGCGCAGGTGGGGACGGGCGCCCCGCGCCGACTTCCCGCATCCGCAGCGCCTCGCTCCCCCGTGCGCGCGGGGAGCGCACGTGGGAACACGGCCACGCACGCACGCGCGCACGCACGGGCGGGTGGCGCAACGGGCGTCGCCGCCGTCGCCGCCATCCCCGCGCGCGGCCGCGGCGCCACCTGATCCGCCAATGAGGGGAGCGGTTTGGCACGGTTGTGGGTGCGCGCACATCCTCGGCGCCCGCGGGGGGGGGGGCGCTAAAGCGATGCTTCCTGAGGCGCGCAGGAGGAGCGTCGCAGCCCCTCTCATTTATCTCAATTGCGCGCGGGCCCGGTGCCGCTGGCGGGGCGGAGGGCCCGTCGCGGCCCCTGCTCCGAGCCGCCCGCTCGCGCGCGACACGCACGCCGCCCGCCCCAGCCGCGACACGCCTCAGCCAGAGCCCGCCGGCCGGTCGCAGCGCGCACCGGCAGATACAGTGGCGGAAGTGCCGCGGGCATGAGCGGGCCGCCGTGCTAGCGCAGCGCGCCCAACCCCGCCCGCCTCCAGCATAGGCCGCCCCCGGCGCCGCCGCCGCGCCTCCGCGAGCAGCCCGCTTTTCGGAGCCGTGGGCCGCGTCCTAGGCGGGGCTGCGGAGCGCCGCGCGGCGCCGTGGGCGCCGCCGCCATCGGCCGCCGCGGCCGGCGCCTCCTCGTGAGTACCTGCCCCTCCCCTGCTGCCGGCGACTCACGCGCCGCCGCCCCACGCCTTCACGCGAAAACATCTTCCAGCCGTTGCCCGCAGGAGCAACGGTGGAAAGACGGCGAGACGCGTGGATGGAGCCGCCTGGGGCCGGGGCCGGCGCGCCCCGCCGCCGCCGACCCAGCCGCCGCCGCCCGCCTCACGCTGCAAGCGGTGGGTGCCCGGCGCGACGGCGATGTGCCGCTTCTGGAAGCGCCCTCGCGCGGCGCAGTGCGCGTGCCTGTGAGAGACGTGTTTGCGCTTGGCCGCGGTCCGGAATTTGCTCTGAAGACACAGTGGACGTATTGCTCGCGCTCAGTTGTTGCGTTGTGTGCCACCTGCAGTGTTAGCATCAGTTTTCGTTCAGCGAAACCACGAGTGTTTCTTTTAACATTCTCTTCACACGCAGATTCTTCCAAGTGAGATCATTTTCATCTTTGGTGCGTCGTGGTCAAGTTTCTGTCTTCTGCATCGGACAAATCTTATCCGGCGATATCTCCCCCGAAATAGTGTTCTTCATCTGCTCAGTAGTGTGTGTCGACACTTAAATTCTTCACTTTATCGTACACTTCGATTTTCTCTATCATGGGTAATGTTTTGTTTTCCATTAAACGTTTAACGTTTCTTGATCTCGCCATCCAATTAGAATGTACTATTCAAATCTACCAAACAATTCAAATTCCTTCTCTTCGATACTGTTATTCACCGCAATTTTAAAACCGTCATCGTAACTGTTCGTTTCACCCGCCATTTGAAATTATCTAATTAGCCATTGGCAGCCCTGCGGGTCCACCTCGTGGCCATCGTGCGATTGGTTGCGAAGCGCGTTCGACCCATCGAGTCGGGAGCGAGGCGAAGTGAGGCGAGGCGAGGCGAGGGGTCCGGCGCGATGGCCAGTGGCCGAGTGGCGTGTGCCAGTTTGAGTGTGACAGTGCGTGCGAGGGCTCGGGCCTCTGGGGACGACGGAGGACGGCGATGGCTCTGCAGAGCGCCAGGCAGCACGTCCTCACCCAGAGGACGCAGGACGCCGCGCGAAAGAGCAGCTGCGGCGGATTCCGGAGGAGATCCTCCCTACTCATCCACCAGCCCGTAACGATGGCCACAGCGCATGCGCTATTGCTCTTGAGCTCCAGCTCTGTTCTTGTATAGATTCGAACGGTACTACAGCTACAGTACCGTTACCCATAAAAACGTATTTGACTTTCTTGAGAGTAAAATAGGGAATTAACATTGTGTTCATGTAGAATACATGAACACAGGTTTTCTTTACCCGCTAAAAGAGCAAAAATTTTAAATTGTAGGCATTGATTCATAGCCGAACCCATACACGTGCCTTTGAAAACTAATATGCTTTCACAATGTAAATCATCTTAAGTAACTTCAATTCCATAAATGTAATTCAATACTATATATTTTACTTGGAATGAGTGAATGGTCTCCTAAATGATGAGTCTTCTTAGATTTCATCGTGATATTTAAATAATTCAATAGCATGATTTTGAATCAATTTGCATGCGCTTGCAGATTTACCTAACAAAGGAATGTACGTTAAGAATGTTTTGCGAACATTAGTGCGCGCGAACTAGTGCTTGGCAATATCTTAGCCCGTTCTTGTTACTCAAAATTAAACACAATTGGCATTAAACATACTAAATGTTCACGTCAATAACGTATAAAGGACGATCACTTTTGATAAAAATGCAATTATTACATTTCATTTCCTATGATTTTAAGTTTCAGAAACGAGAAATATTCAAAAATTTGCGCTAAAAGTACATACTTATTTAGTGGCGAAAAGGGGAAGTCCTGGATCGTCCCCTCTCCTTCAAACGCCAATAATTCTTACTCAAAAATAATATTTTTACTTATTTTCTCTTCTGAGAAAGTAATTCCATATATAATTTGTTAATGTTATAAATATTTCCTACAAGTAAAAATACAGTTAATGTTCATCATAAATGAAACATTTTATATAAGAAAACATCTAGTCAGCTGGACACTATACCTTCCGCCCCCCCTCTCTCAGAACAATCAATGCTGGGTGCGCCTCTATACGCCTCTGTTTTTATTCAGCAATCCACAACAATTGTGTGACTTAAAACTTAAACAAATTCTATCTCTGGAACGGGCGAAAGCAAAAACCGCAGTAAATTCAGATTTATAGTTGTGCTTTTGAATCTCAGCCGGGATCAGGGAAGCCCACTCGGGATCGCGTTGCGTCCGCCACAAGCCATCTCCGTGCGCGCCAACAGTGGGGTCAAAATGAGCAGTTCCGCTGCCAATCCAGAGCCTCGCCTCGCCTGCCTCGCGGGCCGGGCTCCCCGCTGCCCTGAATGCGTAATGGGGCCGGGACGAGATTGGTCTACTCATCCGTGACGCCGTCTCGTTGCGCTCTCACACACCACGCTCTCGGTGATCTCACCTAGCGACGCAGCGTCCCGTGCGACTTCCTGGATGTAGGCGTTTTGTCGGACTCCAGCAACGCAAGGGCCGCGTTCGTGTGCTTAAAACTTCAGAACAATGTCCCTATAGCGACTTAAATAGAGGAACTACCTTACGAAAATCTAACGGAATGAAACGTTCATGTAAAAAAATATTTTATGGGCAGAACGGTCCATAATTTATTACCACTTATTTAGAACTCGGCACTTTTCTAAATTGTGTTTGTCGTGTTTTTCATTCGTTTCTTGGATTTGTGTATCGTAAAGTAAGATTAATCATCTTCCCCATTTTTCGTAACAGATAGGCAGATATAGTTAAGTAATCCCGAATAATTATATTGGATAAATAGTTATAGATATTACATGAAGTAGATAAAGTATATAGATAAATATATAAGTATAATAAATGTAATGCGAGAACAAAGTATTGGATTACGTCATTTTGAGTGTGCACAGATTTTGAGTAAAATGTTGCCGAAATTCAGAATTAATTTCAATAAAATGAATAAATTTAAAAACATGAAATCTTTAGTTTACTATATAGTAACTGTCTCTAATTTTCAGAAGATATAATCAAGTTTCATAAAGAGAATTCTGTTTTTACAATTACAATTGCTGTGCAAGAAAATAGGCTTGTCAAATGCGATAACGAATACGTGATGGTATTCCGTCCAGTTGCTTAAGTATATATGTTGACATTCAAAATCAAATTGAGCCACTAATGAATTTCAATGTTTCCTAAATTGGTGACCCAATGCTTCGTCAATAAGGTAAATTCATGGCATTTAGCAGCTATCGCAATTGGAACCGGAGTCACAGGTGTTTTAGTCATGTACGGTCAGGGGTTCAATGAACCATCTCTGAAATTCATTCTAAGCAACTCGCAATAGATATATTTCTGATACATTTCACATAGTTTTTTACCTATCTACAGTTAGTTAGTTTTTAGCCTATCTACAGTTATCTTCAGATTTCTTGTCGTCTGACCATGTCCGTATATTCAACCGGTCCCATTCATCAGAACTACAAAGTACCTACTTGTATGTGAAATGCCAATATAAGGTGTTTTCTCCTTATTCGTTATACACAAAAGAAAAAAATAATTTGCATTCATTCTATACTTCACCACTAGAACGCAAAAGCTCCATGTTCTGCAATGTTGAAGCAAGTGGGAAGTCTTTAACTCTTAATTTTCAAATTTTGTGCTTGAAGTGGCCGTTATTGAGGCACTGATCTCTACCGGTGCCTCTTCTCTACCAAGCAGAATTATTAATTGGCATCTTTGTTATGTTTCTCTTCCTACGATTTCCTATATGTTTCCTTAAATATTTCAATTGTTTTTTCTTTTTAATTATTAAATTTACGTATTTATTTTGCACAAAACTCCTTCTAACGCGCCGTGTGTTGGCCGTCTTTGGGACCGGGTGAGTCAGTTATCCTCGGCTTTCTACTTGTTTGTTCAAAATGTACTCAGGTTTTCTTCATCAGATCCTTTACAAAAATCTTCGATATATATATATATATATATATATATATATATATATATATATATATATATATATATATATAGCCTTGTAGAATACTTTAATACCTCGTAGAATCGCTTTTTGGCGTCAATTATAATGTTTCTCTCCCCCCGTTCTTTCAACCACTGTTTCATTGAATACTTAATTTCATTGTTTTTTTTCTTTTTACTCATTGTATTTATGTAGTATTTATTTTTGCACAAACCTCGCTCCCGGTGCAATGCGTTGGGAGTGGGAGTGGGAGAGTGGACGCGGGGCGCGGGGCGAGAACGTAGCGGGCCATCAATCAAGGCCCCCCGGGCCTCTCCGCCGCCGAGTGCACTAGTCCGCGTCCTTGTTCCCACTCCCAGCCCCAGCCCCTCTTCCCCACCCACGAGCGCGCACCCTCCTCTGCAAACCCCGCGTCCTCGGTGGTTCCTATTTTCACATCGCCGCCCCGCCTTCGTCTCCCTTTTCTTTCGTCACATCCTGTTGCTCGGTTTCCAATTCTTTCATCAGTCTCGTTTCCTGCTGTCACAACCATCTGTTTGGTTCCCTGATCTGATACACTCCTCTTGCTGTAACATGAACGAGGAAAAAGACATTAAACGCTTTCAGAAGCACACACACAATCAGGGCGGTCTTTCCTTCATCTTCAGTTATGTCATTTGCCCTTCCAGACTTCTATAATTGCGCCAACATCTCCCTGCAAGTACCATCTTCATTTACTAGGTTGCTCGCTCAGTTTCTCTGAATCTTTAAGCAAATGCTGAGAAGCCCTATTTTGCTTTCGGACATAAATATAGCTTCAAAATCTGTATGCGTTTGGTTGAGCTCTCTATTTGCTATTTGCGGAAGGAGTATCAATGTAGGTTTGTTATTTCACCAGAAATACAATAAAAATAAATCTATAAGTGGATTTCCAATGCAAATACGATTTTTATTTCATGGAAGCAAATATTTTTCCTTTTCAAGTGTTATTGATAACACTCATTCGTACCTTCATTCATAACTAAATTAGTAATGTCTAGTAAGTCTAGTAAAACAGAGGGATGGATTCTGGAGCTTAAAAAAACGTGCGCAGATAAGACGCAGATTAGTCATTTCAAACAGTTTTATAGTTTTTGTCGATAAATAATTTAAAATTAAATTATACGTTGCTTACAATCTTTATCATATCCTCTTCTTCATCATCTTCTTCGGCCCTTCAGATCATACCCATTCTTATTATATTTTCAATTCTCTGTTTTTGGCGGCCTTCTTCCTTTCTCTTCAATGACCAACTACCATTAGCTACCTCTTTGTCGTAATACCCAATGCATTTCTTGAAGCGAAGGTTCGCTCTCTCCACATTTTCATGTAATAACTGTTCGAGCGAAGTTAAGCAAAATACGTTTTCAAGCGGAGGTTTTAATTTATCCTTTTTAATTAATTTTATCACGCCCCCCATGGCTTATCAGTATTCCCTTTTTATGGATACTTTCATATGCGCATACGTATTATGAAACACATTTTGAAATAAGAGAATCTGTGTAATTGTTTTGGACATAATGCCTAGGGTGTTTCATTTTATAAGGCAAAAAATAAAATGTAAAACTTTTGCAGACTTTGCTTTTTTTCCGAGTCTCACGACTTACAACTTTTCTTCTGTCTCGAGACTTTGCTTATGTTCCGATGTAATATACCGGATTTCTGGAAGATAGGATAATGCTTGGAGATTGCACACTTTTATCAGTTTTGTAAAAGTAGGCAAAATGTACGAATTTTATGTTAATTACTTTTATTACGTAAGATTAAAGTCACAAACTTAAAATAGTATTAAAATTAGACACCAAGGTTAATAAGAAACACGATAGGCAAAACATGTATAGCATTAATTAACTTTAAACAAATCAATTCCTTCTTTTGTGCGCTTGGTGACGACCTTTCTGTGATGCTTGACTACCCTCAACAAGAATTTTTGAAGTTTCTGGTGTTCCTTTCTGTCCATTGCGTTATTTTTATCAAAGCAATTCTCCGGTACCACTGACTATCTTAAGAGCGTTCACATGGCTTTTTAAATAATCATTGAAGTATTCTGGAGTCGTGGAAACCAAACAATTCAAAGAACGTCTTTGTTTTATTAGTAACGAAATGGATCATTATTTTCCTTCACAAATTAAGTTCTTATCTTCTAATACTTTCATTTTCTTTGCCGGTTTGGTTTTTAAATTTTTAGTCACATTTTCCTAAACTGCCTGAGCAAAACGTTCGCCGTTTGTTCCTGACAGATACCAAAGGTGTCTCTTAGCAACTGTGAGAGAACTCTTCTACACATGGGTTAGTGCTCAGAAACAGTAACATATCCAAATCATTCTTTGGAGCCCATTGACTTACAACTGTCTCGTGCCAAAAGCAAATATAACAGCCTAAGAAAATAGCCAACCCCATTTCATTACTTTCAATTCGTTCATCGTTGAGGAATATACAACTGTTAAATGAAGAGGGCAATGTTAGGGGCATATATTGCCTTTGCTGTCTAGCTTGCTTTGTGTAGAGACCCTGCGATTCTGAAAGTGAATTTCTTTTTAGATGAACCACCTGGATACAGGAGTGAGAGTTGTAATAACACCTTGTAATTTTCTCTTGGATGACATGCATCTTTTAGAGCATTTTGGATGCAGTTAATTATTTTCACTCGTTCTTCTTGACAGCCTTAATTTTCTTCATTCAGCATTGTCGTAAATCTCCGTAAAGTGAAGCACGTAGACTTTGAAACTTCCAAAAAATCTAGATGTCAGTTGGTAGTATGCCACAACACTCCTCTAGCATACCTTTCAGTAATAGATCATGGGTGTGATGACTCCAAGCCAACCACAACGTGTCCGAATTCCCTTTCAATTTTCGTATATGGCTTTTGAATTAATCCTCTATTAGTATCAAAAGATATATCGATGATTTTGTTACGTTGTCCAAATCTGTTTACTTTTCGAATAACAACTTGAACCATCTGCTCACCAGTGCCTTTCAGGTCAACTGGTAGGCCAAGCAAATGCTAAAAATATTTGCCAGTCACTAGAACTAAACTATATCTTCCAAACTTCATCCCATTGACCAGAACTAAACTATATCTTCCAAACACCTCCATGGGCAACTGAGGGCAAAAGTTAACTATCCCAATGCAAGACCAAATGAGGAGGATTTTCAAAGAGTGACTCATCGTTTTTGTTTGCCATTTTACATCTATTGATCACCTTCCCTGGATAAACGGTAATCACAGATACAGAAATTTTTGAAACATCATGATCAAGGCTACAAATTAAGTAATTGGTTATCAAATAGAAAGCTGGTCTCGATCTGAAGTACACGTGAATGTCTGATCAAGAGGTTTTGTTTTAGTACTAGGACTTTATCGTGTTTTTTCGTTGCTGGAGGTGAAAACTCGAGTTCATCGTCAATAGGTGCTGATGATGATGAAGATGAATCCTTCAATATAACTGTGTTATTGAACTCAAGAGAGACTAAGCCTATTGATGCCTGTCAACAGGTTACAGCGTAAAGAAAAGGGTCTACTTCAGCACACGTGCACATATTTACGATTTTATTATTGAAATAAGTAAACAATTATACTCACCTTCTATCTCCATTACGTAGTCTCTGTCCATAGGCTCTAAGTTTCGAGTCCTAACAGTAACAGGATTATCGATTCTAGCTAGATTGTTACGTCAAATTCAGCTCCTGTCTGGAGGAGAATTCTAGTGGCCGCTTCTTTTGAATCGGTAGTTTTCACAGTATCTCCAATTACTACCAGACGAACGCCGGAGCAGTTCCCTAACAAACGTACCATGGACTGCTCGAAATCTTCTCTTGTTTTATTTTCTCCTTTAACACACGATTACACTCACATGCATTAAACTATCACACTTGTTGAGAAACCAGTTGGGAGACTAAAGCTTGTCCCACCTGTGACAGTGCCCCGCTGACGGAAGATACCTGATTGGAGAAATTTCTGCAAGGTGACATAGGTAGGCGCCGGATCTCGCCAGCCAGTGAAGGAAGATCATCATTCCCTCCTTAATGAAATCAGACACTACATTTTAGATTTAGGTTTATTCAGTCAAAAACACAGTTAAAACTATATTTGACGTAGGGGGAAAATAATATCTGCGCGCGTTTTCTTGAGTTACAGAATCCCTTTTCGTCATTTTAACTATAAATAGTTGAAATATGAGTAAAATTTTATTGTGAATAAACAAAAATAAATTTTAAAACTCGCGAAATTGGCAATATTTGAAAAATAGTCATTTGCGTTACGGAACTAACTTAGAGGTTGACGCGCCAGGAATCACTAGTCAATCAATCAATCAAATCATCTCCATTACACCGCAGCCATCATCCTCATGATTAATTCTGCTTTTGACAATTTCATAATTTTGAAGATATTCTTTTCCACCAAAAAAGGGAATTATTCCAAGCAGAACTTGGTGTCTATTGTAATTTTGACCAAAGTAAAGTACTTACAAATATATCATACACTATAAAAACATTAGACAGGACGACCTTCATTAATTCATACCGAATGTCTTTCAGTCCTTGATGCTGAAATGAAGCGATAAAGAGGGTGAAATGCTTCTATTACTGTAAGTCTCGATAGAATTACTATATGGTCGTTAGTGGTTTTCGGGACAGCTACGCCTTCAATGATTTCCATTCCTAGTGATCTGTCTTTGTAACATCCTAACCATTGTTTTACAATTCACACATCTGTAGAACTCATTTCGTCTCATAATATGAGCGCCCTTATTTCGAAATAATTTCACCCTCTCATCTAGGCTACTCGTTGTCGGCTCGTGTGCGTGTCTTTGCACGTTCATGTATGCGTGTATGCTTGTGTACATTCTTGTTTGACTTCTTCTATGGAAGATTGTGTGCCATCTTGTATGTCTAATCGCGTGTTTCCTCGCGTGTGTACTCGCGTGTATACTTGTGTGAAAACTTATGTGAGTGCACCTGGATGTGCGCTTGTGTGGGTACTTGTGAATGCGTGATTGTACATGTACTTGTGCTTTTTTTCTAATGTGTGTGTGTGAGGCAGCGCTCGCGCCCTGCTCATCCGAGGGCATCCTCGCTGCGCAGGTGCGGAAATGGCTGCGCGCCAACCTGCTCCTGGCGCTGACGGTGGGGTCGGTGCTGTTGGGCTGCGTGCTGGGCTTCGTGGGCCGCCTGCTGCACCTCAGCGACGCCTCCATCCTGCTCGTCTCCTTCCCCGGAGAGATCCTCATGCGCATGCTCAAGATGTTCATCATCCCGCTCATCGTCTCCTCCCTCGTCTCGGGTGAGTGATCGCCACCTCGACGGCTCCTGGCGGCTAACTACCCTGCATCCCGTAAATAAGGAATCAACACTGGCTGATTTATTACTTATTGGGGTCAAGAAATTATGTACTAATTCGACTCAATAAAAATAGCATACTTCGATTCAGAGACAAAGTACCTAATCAATGTACTAACATTCTTATAGAAATGTAAGTTTTAATCAGTTGTTGATAAAGACTTGAATGCTTTGTAATTTTAGTGCCGTCTACATTGATTTTAGTTCACTTTATACGATTTATGACGTGTCCATGCTGACAAAAGATCGCACGGTTAATTGGATTGTTGGTGATCGCATGGTTCTCAAATGACCACAACCCGTTGATTCATTCATAGTTTAGGATAGTAGAAATACTAAAAAAGAACGACGACAACATAATTACTTGCTTTGCGGAAAATACAGGATAACCAATGTGTGTAATAGCTTCATTTTCAAATTCTATCAGTGAAGCAAAGGAGGAAGTTAAACAATAAAATCATCGGCTTCTTGTATATTTATTAAACTATTCGTTCGTCATTATTTGGTAATCGACCAATCAAAATTAGCTTCCAAAATAGTGACGTGCAGCAGAAAAAATGCTGCTGAACAAAACCTTACAAAAGGGTTTTCAAAAAAGTAGCACCTCTCTTTTGAGGTCAAATATCATTGCACTACATTAATTTTTTTAATTTAGTTAAATGAATGTACTTTTAATTTCATGAAAAATCGTTGATTAACACTATGTGAATTGCCCGCGTGCAATTAAAACTTCACCATGCAAATTAAACTTCACAACTACCCATCAGAATTCATAAAAAAGGATCAAAATAATTTAATTAAGCCACTATATTACAGACGTGGCCAAGGCATTTCGAGTCGGTCACGAAAAATAAACAAAAACAACTACATCAGAGACCTATACCAACTACATGTAAACAATGAATTAATGATTAAATAGTTAAGGCTGACAATGGATGATTGTTTTCAGTCTTGGCAAGTAAATTGAAGCGAATTGTCATTCAACCTAAATTCCATTTCAACACAATTTTGTCATCAGATGTTAGCTAGCAGGATTTGTAATTGGAATGGCATGCGAACTTAATTTGATTTCCAGCATTCCTGTACGAATACAACAGAATCCAATAAGAGTGATGTTTAAATTAAATGACTGAATACACAACCGAACCAACTTTTTCGGATATTTAGAATATAACATGGCTGTTGAATCTCAATTAAAATTAGATGTCACGTCACTACCACAAATAACTAAATACGAGTATTTAGTTTGATCTTTTCACAACAGAGGAACTAGGGCCTATTATGAAACAGAAAAGCAAACTTTTTACCTTATCTTCTATAACGCGTTGTAGCAAAAACATGAAAAATATTGAATAAGTGCCTTTGGTGCCAATGACGTGTTCAAAGTAAAATATAATTTAAAATCTTCCACAACCAAATCAAAGGAGTGTATTAAATTAACCCCAACTGAATTGATACAGCTCGATATCTCTATGATTTTTATTCGGAAGCAAGGAGGGGGCTGCAAGGGCAAGCTGTTCCAAGGGCAAGATGTTCCCTCTCGCGGGCACGGGCGCTCGCGGGGTTTCCGGGCGCGCCTGCGTGATGTCCCGGCAAGCCCAGGAGGAGGCGGCGGAGGGGAAACACTCTCATCACTTGCACTTTGCTTTTTGTAGAAGCAATACGAGTAGTGCAATGGCTGACTAAGGAAGTCACAATCCCTTCTTCTGCTTCACCGGATACTGTATATCGCCAATGCAGTTGGAGAAAGTAGATTTACAGAACTCCGTACGTCTAAAAGACAGATATTTTAATGCCCTCAATTTGTCACGATGGTTAGAGAATTTATTAGTGAATGTCTTCTCCAAACTTCATAAAATGCAGAGAAGATTATATGTATGTTTGGGTCAACATATTGTTGTGAGCAGCTTTTCGCTGCAATTAAAAGAATAAAAAAACAAGAAAAAACTCAACTTCAGGAGAAGATCGTTCAGTGCATTGCAACAGCTCGAGGACTGACCCCAGCCATTGCTTTGTCAAGAAAAAGATGTCAAAAATTAATATAATATAATATTTTGATAACATTAATTGAAGAAAAGTTGCGAAGCCCATCTGTAGTCTGTGCCCACCGGTCTGTGACAGTACCTGCAGGGGCTCACGAACGCCCTCAGCTTACTTGGAACAGCGTGCTTTAGGGTTTAGCCTACCTTTTAGGGTTTCTCAACAGTATTTTTGTTTTCATTTTTTAAAATCTTTTGCTATGTCTAAGTTATAATACTTGGTTTCCGATCAGTCTGAAAGTTCAAAAAGGAGGATTTAAAATAAAGGTTAAAAAATTGTTTAGTTTGATTTTAATGTGGTAAATTATCAAAACATATTGTTCTTACATTAGAATGTAATATTAAGGAAGTTAACGTATGTAAAAAACATTAATGTTTTAAGGGTTTGGAAGTGATTTCGTCACATCTGTTTGACAGTATACAACACGCGAGCCTCAGTCCTTCCTTTTAGCATACTGGTTTTTATATCATTTTCAGTATTATGAGATGAATTGAAATAATTAAATATTGTTTCAAGATATGTTCATGCTTTCTTGTTCCGTAAACACCTATTATTGTCCTCAATGTAAATATTACAATTCCGAGCAATAGCTTTATGGATTCCCGTGAAGACCTACATTGTTAAAACAACAAAATATTGTACAAATTAGTTTCTTGTTGACTGCGTGTTAATCTTTAGTGTTTCAAAATAGCCCCGTTACCCGTTAGCCCTATTACGCGTATCATATTAGTCAAAAACATTGAAGTTGTATACGTCATGGTAGAATAAATATTTTTGAAATATTTTAACGCAGAAAAATAAATACATTATTTCTGAATGATAACCTATTTTCAAAAACATCCTTCCATTAAAAATGACATTGGCATATTTTTTGCAATATCAATATCCCAGGTTCACCCTATAATTTTTGTGACAGTAAAATGTTTCAAAATATAAAGCAGGCTACTTCCAAGATACCTTATATTTTCTACGACCCATGGAACATTGCAAGTTGTAACCAGTCAGTGAACTGGCAATTTTCTCCTCGGGGGCGAAATGCTGAATGAAGCAGAAACTGACTTTCCTAACGCAGTACAGTTTGAATATGAATTCCCTTTGGAAACTATTTTTCAGTTTCTTTGATTTGAATATTTCAAGAGGTTTAACTTATAAAAGACGATCCAAATTATAAATGAAGCTCCAATTTCTGACTGTAGATCCTTGTGTAACATGATTGCTGTTCAGGAAAGCGCCTGGTTACAACCTTAAAACAAATGTATAAAAAGGATAAATAAGACGTTTATCTATTTTTTGGCTAAGGACTCAACATGCAATGATGTGGCAAAAAACGGCTTCATTGCCTCCGTGACAGCATTGCTGTAGCTTTTACAGCGTCTCTGACCGGGAACTTCCAAGGTACGAATCCTGATGTAGAATTTTCGACATAAGCCACATAGCTAGGTTGAATTCAGACCAGTAATACAGCTGTGTCGAAAACCCACCACCTTCGGAACTTCTATCCTTAGTTTGTTAGTTAACGCTTTATTTTACGTGGCGAGACTGGGGTCATCAGGCACGCTCTTTCGACTGGCCACGTAAACTTTGCGCTCCTTCACCGTCTAGCGGAGAAAGAAGGTGTCATCTCTGGAGACTAAACAGGCGATTTGTATTTAGCTAAGACGCGTCTTTTATGCTTGATAATTTTTTTACATGCAGCTGTAAATCTACTACATGGGACAGGCGTAGTTACTTCCCCTCCGAAGTGTGCGAAGGATTTTTCCCCGTTAAAAACCCCCGACTTCGATCGAATTTGAGCCCGCAAAGTTTGATACAACAGCCAGCCCGATACGCTGTTATACCACGGAACCCTTAGGGCACGTGGTCCCGGTGAGCAATGCTTGCAGAGGCCAGGGCCTTGCCACTGAGCTCTGTGAGCCGGCTCTGAGGTGTCGCGCGGCGGCGCGGGGCGCGCGCGAGGCTGGTAGCGGCGTGTGCGGCGCAGGTATGGCGCAGCTGGACGCGCGCTGCTCGGGCCGCATGGGCTTCCGCGCGCTCGCCTACTACATGACCACCACCATCCTGGCGGCTATCGTGGGCATCATCGCCGTGCTGCTCGTCCACCCGGGCGACCCCAGCATCAAAACGCACGTGGACACCGGACCGCCGCCGCAGCGTGTCTCCTCGCTCGACGCTGTGCTCGACATCGTCAGGTGAGTTGCTCAAGCGTTTTTTTTATTGCTCGGAGCCGTTTTCAATCGTTATAGGTGAGTTGTAATCACACTTTATCATTTGGCGGCGCGTTCGATATCAGGTAAATAACGTAAGCTACGTAGTTAGACTACCGTGGACGGGGGTAATAGAGTTTTAGCTGTCCCAGGCACAGTTGTCAATGTTTCGTTCGTCATACGAGTACTGCGACCTTTCTCAGGTATAAATGCCGTAAAAAAGGTATGCCGAACTGCGCCCGCACGAGCTACTTGCCCGCCTGGGAATCCCGGCGCTCCTACGAGCACGTGCAACTTCTGACTACTGAACTCTTAGATAAAACGCGATTACGAAATCAAAATGATTTCGACTTTATATGTTGAATTTGAATATCAATGTAAACTTTCAAATATGACTTATGTATTTCATTTTGATGGATCATTTCTTTGATTTTGAAGAGGAAATGAAAATATGAATGATATTGCTATAATATGAATGATATCGCTATAATATGAATAATATCGCTTTCCGGGCAATAACTGTCAACTGACGTCTCCAAAACACTGTCATGAATTACTCGTAGGTTCCCGAGACGTACCAAATTCCTGGAGCATTTGTATAACCCTTCCTTTTAAATCTCGCGCTAATCACTCTGGACACAGTTCCCGTGAACTCTAGTAAACTATTTACTTTGATCCATATTTTACCTTGATGGCGACCTTGAAACTTATACCTTACAGTCCAGAAGAGTCGTAGAAAACCTATAGTCATTTATCTATATGTAGGACACGGAAGTCTCCCGGACATCCAGGAATCAATCATCAGGTAAGTTTCAGAAGCGCATCTCATTGCTCCTCGTCGTGATCCACATCGATAGGGGATTCTCTGCGGCATGCCTCATCGCTTGTCACCGTGCTCCACACTTCCAGTCTACCAGATGTGCCAGCAGAACGTCTCATTGCCCAATGCAAGAGCTCCCCTCCGACAGATGAGACATCAAAATTGCCTGCCCACATTTTCTCATGATACTACACTTCACTGTTCCAAAGTAATACAATTGTGGAAACTCAGAAGTCTTTACTCGAAAGCATAAAAGTACAGTATTTAATCTAATAATATTAAATACAAAAAATACATTATTTATATTTATGGTTGTATTTAAGTTAGGACAACCTACGAACTAGTGACTAATAAAGAAGCTAAATGCGACATATCTCACAATGAAAACGGGCTCACCACGTTATAAAATCCTACTGCCAACAAAACGGATTTATTATCTGATTGGGTAGATTTACCCCGAATGGTTGGTTGAGCTACCGCAACGAAAGGCTGCGGGCCGAGTTCGTGCGAACACCGAGTATCCCCATTCCGAACTGCAATTCCTCGAAAATGTCAATTATACAATAGGTATCCTGAAAGGTATAGATGCTCATTTCGTATGGAAACTAAATGCAGAATTGATTCATATTGAACGGCACTCAGGTTTTTCCTGGCCACCCAAATGCACTGCATGTTAAGTCATACTTTTTCTCTTAAAGGAAATGTTTAAAAAAAGTAAATTAAAAAAAGGTTCATAATAAAAGAATGACATTTTATGCAATAAAACTATGAATCTTGCAAATTCGTCCAGTAAAACTCCAATATGTGCAATTTTCATGTAGTATTACTAAAAACGTGTAAACCTCCTAAAGGTGCAATTTCATTCAAAATAAAACGAGTACTAAAATAACGTCCGTTTCATGATTCAAATTTTACCCAAGGTTTCATCCAATTTCAAGTTAGCAAAGAAAATATGCAGTAACACAAGAACCCGGTCTTCACTAATAAGGAAAACTTCCAGGGAGTTACGAGTATCATAGCTTCAATGAGCATCTGTCGAGAAGAACCATCATCGAAATTTCTTTGACCCATCTATACTTTTATCCAGCACCTCACCTTCTTCTAAATCTCATAATATTTTAATTATCGCTTCAGCATTGTTGCGATGTTTTCACTGCTTAAGAGACAAAAGTTTCTTTTATTGGCCATGGTATGAAATTTCGTACGTAGAAAATAAAACATATTCAAAGCCACTGAAGCTAATAACGGGTTTTAAAATATAACAGTTTGAATTAGTTATTATAGTAAAGTTTTCAGGAATTAAATACTTAACTTAAAATACAACAATGACCATTTGTGCGGTAAAAATCTTACCGGTACGTCATCATGCTTTAAGAAAAAATTACCACATCCTTGTTCTTCCTCCAGAATACAAACTACAAAATGCAAAGACGTTATACTTGATTCGTACATACTACGGACCCTCTACTAACGAAAAAGCGTTACAAAAGTGACTACATTCAGAAACTCTGGTACTATATTTCAATTGGGCCGCGGTCTGTATGAAACTACATACCATGGCCACCTTAGGGCCACTTTGGCCCACTTTAGCAATACACAATGTAAACCCAAATGAAAATGTCTTAACAACCATGAATATTTACACCATATCAAATTTAGCAGAATGGAGTAGTACAGATACTGTACTATTCATTTGTTAGCTCCTATTTACAAAAATAAACTATATTTTCTATACATTACAGTCTCACCTCCGGAGTTGCGATTTCCCTCAGCTTTTTTTGTGGCCTTGGCACCGCTTCCCCCACCGTCGTCGCCTTCCAGCTCCGCACCGCGGCATTCGGTCGTTCCCTCCAAGACATTTCGGGTGCCTTCGGGCGGCACCCGAAGTTCGCTTGCTCCGCATCACAGCGTATTTTTGAAGCGTAGTTTTAAACTCAGAACCTGAATTCACCACTCGCTGCATATGGTCGTTGGAATTTTCACACGTGCAGACCACAAAATTCCCTCGACAAATCGTTCATAATCATAATACAAAGTCGTTCAGGCGATCGTGTGGCCGGTACCCGTAGTTCCTACATTCATAATATCCACTCTTCCGTACTATACTTTTAATTTCCACTATAGTGTCACTGGCCAACTGTAACTTGTAGCATTTCATTAAACTTTTTTGTCCTTTACTATCAAAACATAGTATTTTCACAGTTCGGCCATCGCTATTCCATACACGCCACCATGAGCACTTCGTTGCTTGCAGTTCTAACCAAAATTAGCAAAATAACATGCGAGTTCGGATCACTTTCTTATAGTTCAATTACCACACGCGGCTTTAGGCTGATTAGATAAATTGCTCTTCCTTTACGGGATTATATAACGCACTTTCAAACAGTTCAGTGTTTACCAACAGGTGAAACTCACAATCACATGAAAATCCACATAAATTTCACGAATGTTTATCAGAATTTAACTATTTACTCAAGCAATCAGTATTATATTTGGTTGCGGTTGCACAAATACTAACAAGAGCCGATGTTCAATGAAATTATTCACCAACGTATCGCCTTGAACTACAGCATGAACCTTCTGTACTGCAGATAATATGTCCTTCGCTCTTGAAAATTTGCAGCTGTCTGCTGTCTCCTCAAAATCGCATTAACTACTTCCGCTCGACTTCCGTAATCGATTGTCCAAAGAGCAGTGGCATCTCTTTGTCACGTCGTCATCCAGATCTGTTATTCATAAACCGACATGAAACATTACAACATTCTCACTTTATCCCGGGAGCATTTGTGATTTATATATATATATATATATATATATATATAT